GGTGATGGCCCCGTGGTAGACGGGCACTGTGTCCATGCCAGGGCCTGTCCCGCTGCAGCTGCTCTCCCGTGCCTCAGCCGTGTGCTCCCTCAGCCTCCCGTCTTGGTGGCAGATGTAAACAGGATGTGTTCACACCTCTGAAGCCTCTGCACCGGGTGAGACGGCACTGAGGGAAGAGTGAGGAACGAACACACAATTTTTGTGGGTTTTATTTTCCTATGCCCCTTTCTGTCTTCCTTTTACGTAGGCTATAACATCTTCGCACCCTCACAGCTCTCCTGCAGAGGTGTCATCTCACATCGGCTCTCGGCCATGTGGCTCCTGCTCAGCAGGGATGGCGCTGGGGCACACGATGGCCGGGGGGTCTGCGGCTGGCCTGGCTGGGACAGGACCAGGGCACTGCTGTCAGCGCTGTGCCAGGCACTCCCCTCTTCTGCTGTTAACCCAAGGGGATTATTACTCCAATTAGGGATTGTTTTTAAACCTCTTGTTTTTAAAATCGTTTTTAAAAAAAGGGATGAGAGTAAAGGAAGTCAGCTGACCTGACTCTGTCCCTGTCCCACCGAGCGCTCACTTCAGGCTGAAGGTGCAAGCGCAGCCCCTGCTCCACAGCAGCTGCTCCACAGACACCAGCCCCAGCTGATTCACCTCACCAGGGGTTGTTTCCAAAGCCTTTGGTGCTGTTTAATCACTGTTAATGTCGGGGGGGTCATTGCTCCTACTTGGACGCAGCCTTGGCACATACAAGGCTCACACCTTCCTGGATGCCATCGCTGCCAATGCTGTCTTCATGTGGGGCATGAGCTGGCATCCAAAACCCTGAGCCATGTCTGAAGGAGACATTTCTCTTCACCTGCTGTGGCTGAAGACAATTCCTCAGTATACTTGTCAATTGAATGCTCCCACATGCACAGCTGTTTGCAAACAAGCTGTCCATGTGCTTTAATGTGCCCCACAGATATTTCCACCCCACAGATATTTCCACCCATGGAAAAACTGAGCGTGTTTCCCTGCAGTTATGGCCACCATGGGGCTGCAGCAAGCTCAGGGCTAAATTCATCCCTGGCATGAGGCTGCCACCCTCTCTCAAAGAGCCACCTTCCCACACCTGTGTACGTGAGCAAGAAGTCAGTAAAATATAGCAATAAGTACGGGTTGTGGTTATGATTGATTGCTTTTTAATTGAGTTTACTAGCAGGACAGGACAGAATTAAATAATCTCATCCAGTTGCTCACAGGTGCTGTGTCCTTGTTGAAGTTACAGATAGGTGAAAAATAGCTTTTAAGATATACACAGTTCAGGAACAGAAATGAAATTAAAAAATAGCAAAACTAATAGCTGCTCTCAATCAATCAAAGTGTTTTCTCTCAACCATTTCACAGTGCATGTCTTTACTTTTTGATCTTCAATACAGTTTTTCCTTGGAAATATTTTTTTCCAACTAGCTTTAGTTTTTCCTTTTGAGGGATGGGCATTTCTGATGTGAGAATCACAGAGCAGCTCGTGCATGGGGCACTGCACAAAGTTACTGATGGCAAAGCTGCAGCCAAGAGCCTCTTTCCCCACAGGGAGACCCCGGCAAGTGACAGCCTCCCTGGCTGGCACTGAGAGGCTCAGAAAGCTGCAGAAACCTCAGCTGAAGAGAGACTGAAAACTCCCACCACCGAGTTTATGGCCTTTCTATCTCATTATGCAGGTATTCATTACCTCTTTACGTGAACCTGGGGACTCAGACATCCTGCTTGGTTTTTTAAACCAGTTGTTAAAGTATTTGCACATAAAGTAGCTACTGCCTACTGCAAATCTGATTAATGTGGACAGCAACAAGCTGTAAAGCTGCTGCCTATTTCTTCTCATTTTCCAAACTACCTGTGCTCTTTGGGGATTTCATCTAACTTTCCAATTTCTTAACCTATTCTCAATATTAATAGCTGGTATCAGAAAAAGTATTTGTGTAATTAGCTGGAGAGGAAAAACAGCCAGAATCATTTAATTCTGCAGATTTCATTGTCCCACTCATCAGATTTCAACTAAAGAAAATCATAAAACTTTTCACTGTGAGATCCTCTCCTAATGTGGAGTCACCACCTTACCCAGCCAACCTGCATTCTCCAGCACTTGGATGAAGAAGCATCTATTACTGTAAAACAGCTGTAAACACAACTTTGCTAGTCTGGTTAAGAATCTATAAAAGTCCAGCTACTGAATCTCAACCCCAGGCTTGCTTACAAATCCCTTTACAGCCCCACTGACTAGGAGAATTGCAGCTATTAAGAAATCATGGAAATGCTGGGTTTGGGAACAAGGGACAGTAACACTGAGGCACCTGTCAGGGACTGAAATGGTTCATGCCTTAAACTTTGTTATGAAGAGGTTTTGCCCATTATAGCAAAAACTGTATAAAGAGGCTGCATCCACCCCTCCCTGAAGATGCCTGAGTGGAACTTTGGACCCTGAGTTAAGCCACGTAGATAAGATAAAGGGGACACTATTGTTCAGTAATCTCAGGCTGAGGGAGAAGAATGCACCCTCAAGAAAGCCAAGCCCAGCAGCTGTGCTGAGAATCATCTCTGGCCATGTTTGGGGTGGGGAAGACCACAGTCTACAGAGGCCAGGTTCACACAGGTCTCCCACAGCTGAGGGTGGGGAGAGGAGGTTTTTGTGCGTGGTGTAACCTCTGGTCAGAGGCACTGAACATCCATCTTTGCTTACACAAATCGGCCCAGCTGTGAAATCCCCAGCCCCACAGGACACGTGCATGGTACATCCACGTAGGAGGCAGCTGAGGGGGTGTCATAATCCATCAAAGACCCCCCCCAAAGTGCTCCCCACACTCCTTCCTGAGGCTTTGCACCACAGCATTGCAGCTGACACAAAGTGATGTAACAGAGCCAGAGTCTGTTGCAAGACACCACCAAACTGCCCCCCACCCTGGGTGAGGTACCTGGCCATTCCCACCTGGCCTGAGCATATATTATTCCATTGGATTCTGTGCTTTTCAGGGCACCCTCACCACCAAGAGGACCAGCTGGAGAGGATCAACAGAACATCACTGGGATCCACAGAGTGGTGATATTGTCTTTATTCTGTCTCTGTCCCTCTTTCTCTTGTCTGTTCCCCCCCCCTTTTCTATTTCTTTCTCTTCCTTTCACTCTCTCTGTCTCTCATATTTACTATTAAATAAAATCCATACTATTGACTTTGGCATATGGTATCATTTGCACCTTAATTCGGGCAGAGGATGTTCTAATAACTGTAAAACCAGACCAGAACAGCACCAAGCAGGATAAACTAAATTAAAGGACATAGGGCTGAAAGAAGATAAACCATGACAGGCTAACACAGCTCTGCACCACACTAGTGGGGCTGGAGGAATGCCCCCAAACAAGCCATCTTCATTGCACTTTGGGATCCAGTCACACTTATACTGACTGCTCCAGGTTTCATCCATTTAATCTTGTGGATCTAAAGCATTGTTTGCCATCCTATTTCTCACTGCTGCATCTGTGCCATGGGGCTGAGAAGGCAAAATCGAGCAGCCATAGGGAAATGAGAGAGAACTGAGGCTCAAAGGGATGCTGCTTCTGTTGGGACTATGTCCCCATCACCTTCCACAGAAAATGGTGATTTCTTTAAGCACCCAAGCACTGCCCTGTAGGACACTGCACACTTGTTTTGTTTGGAGAGTATTCAGCATATTTTGGACACCACTGCTTTGTGCCTTTCCTAAATCAGTCCAGCTAGCAATCCCTGCAATATGCTATAAAAAAATTATCTAAAAAATACATGAAGGAAAGGAAGTACTTAAAAGTGATCTGAAATATTTGGTCATGAAAAACAGGCTCAGACAGATAGGACAGCATAGACCTCTTGGGTCATCAAGTCTACTTCTCTGCTATCTTAACCAAACACGTCATATAATACCCTTCAGAAACTCATTTAAATCCATCTTAAAAGTAGCTTAGGATTTGTTATTGATGTTGTTTCCACTGTTCTCACTGGAAAGCAATTGCAGAACATTGCTATTCTGTTGTTTGGAAACCTGCTTCCAGTTCCTATCTTAAATTTATTCATGACCAATTTATGCTCATTTGTTCTTATGCCAATGTTGTCCTTCAGTTTAAATAGATGTTTTCTCTTCCTAGAGCTTTTGCCCATGTGGTATTTATAGAGACCTCCCTCAGCATTCATTTTGCCAAATTCCTCTGCACTGCAGGCTCTCCTTTCCATGGCCACCCTTTTTCCATAGTTTCCCAACACTCAAGCAAATAATTTGTGAATAGTGTGCACCATCCTGGCTGATTTCTAACACTTGCCTCATACACCAGTAATGGTGTTTCATTACTCTGGCAAAAATACCCAGATTTGTATGGCCTGTGTTTTCCCTTCCTTACTATTTTCTTACCTATGAGCATGCAGGTATACTAGAAACCTGATTAACAAAACCCAGATGCATGAACTGGCAGTCAAACCCTTCTGAATTTTGTCTAATTTATCCTACTCTCAAGGTCACTCAGTTCTTCCTAAATGAGAGTGTTATTTGTCTTTGCAGTGACAGTGCCTGCCTCCCTTATGCCACTGGTAAATTCCATTAGCACACACTTATTTTTTTATGGGATCATCATTAATTAAAAATGTTAAATATTACTAGGCCAAAGACTGATGTTTGAGAAGCCTTACTACCTTCCCTCAGTACTGATCTCCTTCTACCCTCACATTCTTATTCACTTTTTGATTTCTTTCTTTATTTCCCCTTTTAGGTAATAATTTCCCACATGGCACTGTACCAAATGCTGTACTTAAGTTTAGATAATTAGCTGTAAGCACTTCCTTTGTCTAGAAAAATCAATTATGATGATATTTCAGGTGCCGGAACTTGTAGAAGTACCTGAGAAGTGGCAGAAGGGAGAGAGAAAATGAAATTACCTGAAGTTTTTTTTAATACCTTTTGAAAGATTTGGGCTGATTTTCATTTTCAGAGGAGCTGCTTCATTCATCCCTAGCAATGACATTTTCATACATTGTTGAATTTTATAACAATTCTGAATATTATAACACTAATGCAAGAGCATCATTAAAATTCTCGGTTATTGTTATTTGACTGAAAATAAGAATGACCTTTGAGACCTTTATGAAATTAATGCTACTGCAGAACTGTTATAGG